ATTAAAAATAGACTATTTTCCAGAAAGACGATGTCACTTACCCACAAATGTTTGAGAGGGAGCTTTCGATAAAAAATTCGGTTCGAGAGAGGAGTTCACTGTGTTTCGACCAGAGAGAGAGAGAGATCTCAAAATTTTCTAAGGTGGGAGTGCTCACATCCCCTATTTAAATTCTTATAACGTATTATTATAATATTTTATTACGCTCTACCTCATACCTGAGGTGTCGCGTTAAGCGTCTGCTTTCAACATACGAAAACCACGTGCGCTAAAGGACGTTGCCAGCTGCAAGCAGCAACTGCAAAGGCTGCAAACAAAAGCAGCAGCAAAAGTTATAAACCAAGTAAAAGTTTTTGAAAATAGTGATGGTCCCCGAGGACCATCATACTTAAACAGACCATCACCTATTTAAAAGCATCTTTTCTTCCTTTTTTTTTTTTTTTTTGAAACTTTAGGATTGTTACACTCTCTCTATCTAAAAATCCATATCTTTCTCATACATAAGAAGGTGTGCTCATGTTACAGGTCAAGCTAAACCCTTTGGCTGGTAAACTCACCGAGAAGTGAAGAGAGAGATATGGAGTTTGAATAGGGTGTCATTTTAGTGTTTATTTGGGTAAAGAATTTATGGCCAAAGGGATCCAAGGGATTGTACGATAGAAAAATATGGAGACATTTTGCTTACAAGTAACATTTTTAATTCTTCGGTCTCATGAGATATGGAAGTTAAAAATAGAAAATAAAGAGATATTTTCCTTCTTGAAAAATCTGACAAATCTTGTCGTTGAACACAAGAAATTATGCCTCCCACTGCTATTTCCCTCAAATTGTCTTTGTTAATATTTCACGGTCGAAAATTCGCCCCATAACCCTAAGAACAAGGGTGGCAATCCGGCCATGCCTAGCAAGCCTACCCTAAAAAACTAGGGCCTAGGCCAAGAAATGTGGCCTGAGGGTGGGTCAAAGCCTATGCCAAGAAGTGGCGGGTCAAGACCTAGCAACCAAGGATTGAGGAAGGGCCGAGCCGGGCTGGGCAGTTCCAATGGAGGGCCGGTTCAACTCAGCTTGGCCTTATGTTGAAGTTGTAATAAAAGAAATAGAGAACAAAAAGAGAAATAAGCATATATATGATTCGGCAATGGTGCACTAATATTTCATTCATAGGAATTACTCTGGTTTATCGAATATTTATAAAATTACAATTCGTATCTTTTAAGAAACAAATCTCATTACAATTGAAATACCACAAAATAAAGAAACTCTCAATATAGAAAACTTTATATCTTGATGTTATAACTTTCAATCCCGTCTTTTATTTATGTTTTTCTTTTGCTTTTGTTTTCTATTCTATTTGGCCCAGACAAGCTCGACCGAGCCCTAGTAGTGCTAGGGCCAGGCTTGGGCTAAGGCCTTTTGGCCTTGTCAAGGTTGGGCCCGGACTTGGGCGGACCCTATAGGAACTAAGGGCAGTGGTGGCTGGCGCGTTGCCACCCCTATCTAAGAAGTTTTAAATACTTCGTGCTGATTTGGGACCTAGTTTTGCACAGAGGCAATAACCTATAGGGGCCGAAATTCGACGAAACTTTGAAGAGGTTCCTTATTTTTTTGTTTATGTAGAGCTAAGGCTCTAAACAATAAAATTGGAGCTTACCACAAAACTTTTACTAAAAGAGGTTGTTTTGATGACTAAATATCATCAAATTGATCATCGATATAAGGATGTATGGACATAAGAAAAAAATGGATTTCAAGTTTTAAAAATAGTATATTTTGTAACGTATTTTTGGATCGTCAATTTTTAAGATTTTCAAATTTTTATAGATATGTCGATCTAAACTACTTTTGAAGCTTTGAACTTTATAAATAAAAATAAAATTATATTTTAAGGCTATAAAAATGATTTCGAATATTGAAACCACATATCCCGACATGATTTGAAGGTAGGCTCTAATTTGATTGTTTAGAGCCTAGGCTCTATACAAAGGGCACCCTTTTTGTTTTCCCATGAAGCCAGTCGTAAGTCCTAAGCCACGAAGACGTCTCCTTTTTGGCCAAAACTTGAATATGGATTCTCCACAAGTTGAAGGAATATTTATGGAATAAAACCTTTTATTAGCAAACCCCAACTGGTTTTAGCCTCCACGCACTTAAATTTTTATCTATGAGAGAGAAAGTTTTATTAATACTTTTTAGAGAGAGACTTCTTTATTACAATTTGCTCATTCAGATGATATCACCAAAATTCTGGAGCTGTAAAGAAATGATTTCAGAAAGAGAAACAAATCACGCAAGCAATAAAACTCTCTCTCTCTCTCTCTACATTGTTTTAGTCAAAGAGGCAGATGCCTCCTTATAGTAATGTAACTGGAACCTCGAATCCTTCGCCCCCATATTCCTAAATTTCCAGACTTTTCAAACAACGGCACCCAACTCTCCTTCTTTTCAATGCATACAATATTCACTCCAAATTTTTTAGAATTTTATATTATTCAGTCAGTGATCTCGTCACCATTCCAGTTCTTTCAACGCACCAATGGAGGAGGAGAATCCTTTTGCGTTCCTCCCCCTCTCTCTCTCTACCAAATACTTCATCCTGATTTTTCTCTCTCTACAGTCAGGACTCAATACTCAAAAGTGGCTATTTATTCTCTGCATGACAACAATGGAATTAGAAGTGATACCTTCTCTTACTGTTTCAATTTAAAGATTTTGCTTCCTACCCAGAAGCCGTTCGAATTTCACTCATCATACCATCTCTCTCCAAAACTCCTATAGACGAAAACGCCTATAGACGAAAATACGTAATAAAACCGTTCAAAATTCATCATACAGTCACGATTGTTCGATAGTATTTTATTTTTCATTTGTTTTCTACGAATTGAAATGATCTGAAATTTGGAACGTACGGTTTGAATATTAGTTCAAGAATTAAACCTGGTGGGTCGGGTCCGGGCTTGTGACTAATATCACGGCTTGAGACCTGCCATTTTGTTTACTACCCCTTTAATTATCGATTCTAATTTCAAAGACTACATCCATCATTTCTAAAAAACTTCCAGTGCTCAAAATAGAAGCTGCAATGTAAATAAACTAGATAGAAAGGAAAAAAAAAAGATACCAAATGTATCACGACCGGCAAATTATTGGAAAAAATGGATATGAATCCAATTTCATTAATTTCTGTGTATCATTTTCCTGGGTAGGCCCTATCTTCATCACAAATTTATCAAGATTTACAAGAATTTGATCCACGGACCCCTCAAAAAAAAAAAACCAAAATTCCAAAAATTCCAATATCAAAAGGGCATTATATGTGTCATCTTACTGTCATAATTCGATAAACAATTCTTGGAATTAACCCTGAAAATCCTCAACAAATCACTACACATTTGCCTAACACTCAGCGAGCAATTACTCTGCATAAGCAACAAAATCTTTGTTAATCCATTGCTCCCGACCACCATCTCCTGTGCTCTCTGATCCCTAAACAGATGGCACATACTCCATAGGACCACCGCTCCGTACTCCGTAGCTTGACTCGATACTTTGAGCAGCTTTTGCACGATCAGCGGTATACACGTGGCGTCATCGCAGATCGCCTTTCGCCCATCGGAGCAAGCGGTGAGCATCTCCAAAATCTTCAATGACCGTTCAGCCGCGCCGGGATCCGAACGCCGGAGAATTTTCACGGTGACTGGAACAATGCCGAGTCTCACTAGCGGTGCCCGGGTCTTTTTTGGAACCGATAGAGTTATTAAGCAGGATAGCAATGACTCGATGATTGGGCCAGACTCGTTTTCCAAGAGCTTTATTAGGGTTTCTAAGATCCCTTGTTTCTCTGCAACTAAAAGCTTGAGCTCTGCATCCATGGCAATGTTCTCTAAGAGCTTCACGCTCTCCATCTTCGAATTTGAGCCCCCCTTTTGCAAGATATTTAGAATGGAATCGAGTACCTCTGATTTTGCCAATATCTTTGCAGAGATTCGATCTTGATTCACAAAAACAAGAGCCAGAACCCTGACCGCTTCTTCCAAAATCTCCAAGCTCTTGGCCGCCATTAAAACACCAGCAAGAACAGGTATACACCCCGCTTTAACAAGGAACTCTCGATTTCTCTCTCTCTCTCTAGCGAATCGACCAAGCTTAGTCAAGATCTCAGAAGAAATCATGACTCCATTTTTTATATCTTCCACGATGCCTTGGATCTGGCGTGGTTCGAGAGGGCCTGGACTAGAAGGAAAATGGCCTGCATCGCTAGGGTTAGGGTTCTGATTCGATTCGGTCCAAATTTTGATAAGGCGTTGAAGAGTATGGTTGGGGATGAATTCTTTGGTCTGAAGGACTTGGTTAGTTGCAGGGCAAGTGTTGTTTCCATTGTCGATCCATTTTTGGATGCTCGATCGATCGTAGGTGACGCCAGTGCATAGACTCACAGGCGATTTCATTATGTCCAATGAAATTGGGCATTTGAAGAACGTTGGGATTGTGATGCACAGGTTATTCTTCTTCACCATTGTTCAAGAGAGAGAAGATTTTGAAGATGGGTTCTGTAAAATTGAGATAGAGATAATGGGTTATAGTGCGAGAGAAATTGGTTAAGCAGATTTTAGAGAGAGAAACTGGTTGGAAGAGAGAGGTTTTGATGATGGGTGCCTGTACATTTGAGAGTTTATATCTAGAGGAAATATGAAAATTGGAGCTCTACTAAAATTGATATAGAGAGAGAGAGAGAGAGAGAGAGAGAGAGAGATAATCTGGTATATGTAAATGAAAGAGAGGGTGATTTATACAATGAAACTGAGAGATGAGAGAGAAAGAAGGGAGATTGCAGGTTAGAGAGAGAGAGAGAGATGGAGAAGGTGGGGAAGAGAGAGGGGGGATATATTAAGGAGGAGGAGGAGGTTGGTCAAAGATGGTCCGTATTTCTACATATGTGGGCTTGGCCTCATAAAAGAAAGGAAAAAAAAATGAATGATGAGGTCATTGGATTGAGGACTCGTTGGTCAAGAGTTTTAGAGAGAGAAAGAGAGAGTTGGTATTAATTATGGAGTGAGACGTGGGAGAGCCGCGCTGTTTAGACCGTTGAATAAAATGTGGCTTTGTGTACGATACGCGTGTTTCTCTCTCTCTCTCTCTCTTCAACCCTTTCCACCTTATACTTACTTTTGCCTTCCTACGTCCACTCGGTTTTGTTTTTTTGTGGGACTGAGAGGCCCCATACTTTTTATCAAAAGACGCAAACGCCCCAGCAAATCTTTCGAAGCAGAATGGACCTTATTCATTCAGTAGAGCGTTTAGCATGCTCCCGCGGGAGCATGCTGTACCCCTCCCCCCCCTGAGGTACATTCACTCCCTCGAGCAATAGGGTTATTTTCATTTCGGTGGATTTTAAGTAGGGTGGCGAACCGTAAGGGCCGCCCCGTTGGCCTCCAAGACAGACTTGGCTTTTGGGCCACACGCTTTAGGGCAGCCCGAGCCCACGAAAACATGGATATACACACTTGTGTGCTTTGCAAAAACACACGCATATATATTATATATACTATTTTTGCTAATACCTTTTAATAATTTGCTTAGCTGCTATTTTAGAAAAAGAAAAAGTTTTTATAAGGTTGACACCTTAAATTGTAGAATTAAGGTGCACCTCAAAACACTATCCAAAAAGGCTGGGAGGGCATTTAATTGATCATCTCGACATTGAGATGTTAAAAAAATTAAGAGATTTTAAGTCTAAAAAATAGTACATCTTGCAACATATTATCTGGACCGTCCATTTTAAAGTTTTTCATTCATTTATAGATCTGCTTGATTTTAACCATTTTTCAAGTTTAAAATTTTATAATTAGTGATAGAAAATAGATTTTTAGACTATCTTAAAAATCTTTGACACCAAAACCGTATCTTATGACAAAGCTTGGAGGTGTGCGCCTTATTTTGATTGTTTAAGGTTACAACCTCATGCATTCCCTTTAGAAAAAGCAAAAGGATTTATATAAACACACCTCAAAAACTTATCGAAAAATATTATTCTAATGCCACAAAGCATAAAAGTAGTACATCTTGTACAAAATATTTGGACCATTCATTTTACAGATTTCAAGTGCACCAAAAATGCATGGTTCGACAAAGTTTAGAGGTGCACCTAACTTTTGATTATTTAGGTTTGATACCTTATATTAAACGCATGGTTCGACAAAGTTTAGAGGTGCACCTAACTTTTGATTATTTAGGTTTGATACCTTATCTTCTTCTTGTTCTTTTTATGAATAAGTTGTTTGAAACATCAAGTTTCGAACTTGATTATTTCCAAAAGAGTCAATGAGGAACTTGAAATTCCAAACCATATCCGTTGAACTAAAAGAAAATGAGACATTTTTTTGAGAACAATGCAAATTTGAGATATTTTCTAGTGAAAATACCTCACACTACGAGCTAGTTAATTACAATCAGTAGAGGAACCCTAGAGGAAGTTAGGGGGCTGATCCACCTAGATGGGCGGATCTTCCCTTAGATCATCGGCATAACCGATGTGCCAAAATAATAACAAATGCAAATAAATATACGTTTAATCAAATAATCAAAAGTAGAGAAAAAGATGAAGAGTTATCTTCCCGGGCTGCTTGGCTCGGAACGACCGAAGCCCGGGGCTTCGTTTATCAGTTGTGTTTACATTATTGTCCCCTTTCTTTTTCTTCAGTATTGATCAAGTCTTAGCATGGTTGAAATGGTTTTCTTAGATTTCTAAGTTAGGGTTTAGGCATTTTCTAATTCTAAGTGACCAACCCTCTCAAGAGGTCGGATTTCGGTCTTTTGATAAACCTCTGACTCTGAGTAGTTGGAAACTGGATCACCATTCTTATCTAATCGGTCAAAATCAAAATTTGAAATACTAGCAATCGACATGATACGTGTTGTCAAAGCTCACTGCCGCCCAGGCACACAAGTTTTTCACTGGATGACATAGACAACATGCATTGTGTCGTCTAAACCAGTTTGGGTCAGTCAACATGTGTCATGTCGTCTAAGCCTTGTATGACCTAGACACATTGTTTTGTCACTGAGTGGTTTAGACGACATGATTCATGTCATCTGAGTCATTTTGGCCCAGACGATACAATTCATGTCATCTTTGCCTTGTATGGCCCAGACACTGTGTTCTGGTGCTAAATGGTCTGGACGACATGTATTGTGTTGTTTTGGTCAAATCCACCTCATCTATGTCAAAGACGGCTAGAATCTCGGGGTATCAATTCTCATGATATTGTATGCATTTTCGAATGATTATTTTCTCATTTTTTTTAATTTAAAACTGATATATATCCCATATTTTGCTTAATTTTAAATTTAAATGGGGATTTAATAGGATTCGGGACCATGAACTTGGGACTATGGACCATGGTGCTTATGGTTTAAGGTGTTTTAGAATAGTATGGTCCTAAGGGCTCTCTAAGTGTTTCAAGGTCTAGAAAAATAAAAATAAAAATCTAATTAAAAAACAGGTGTCTACAAATTGGAATTTCAAACACGAGATATTTTGAGGAAATTAAAAAGGACAAAACAAAGATATGAGCATAAAAATATAACACACGAACCTGCCCCAATAGTGTAGTCCTAAGGGCTTTCTAAGTGTTTAAAGGTAAAAAAATATAAAGAAATTTGCCAAATTAAAAAATGGGTGCTTACAAGTTGGAATTCCAAATTCGAGTTATTTTGAGTGTTTCAAGGTTAAGAAAAATAAAGGAAAATTTTCAAATTTATAATTGGTCAAAAAAAATAAATGAAGTTTGCCAAATTAAATATTGAGCGTCCACAAGTTGGAATTCCGAATTCGATATACTATGAGCATAAAAATATACCTCATGAACCTGCCCCAGGATAAGGTGTTTTGGAATAGTACGGTTTGCTTTCTAAGTGTTTCAAGGTCAAGAAAAATAAAGGAAATATGCCATGGGACTCAAGGTATTTTGAGAAAAATAGAAATGACAAAACAGGGATATAAGCATAAAAATCTAACGCGTGAACCTGACCTAGACCCAAATATCAGGCTATTATGATGCACAACAAGATGCTTTTTATTTGTGAATTTTTATTATTAAATACACACACGCATTATCAACACTGTCTTAATCAGGGTTTTAGTTCAATTGCAATTAGGATTCCTTGAATTTTAAGTAAGATATTTTATCATAAATAAAGGTCATGTAGAGAATTTAGAATAAAGATCTCAGTTCGAATTTAGATACATAGTTTCCTTGAATTCTTGAGAATTCAGCTGAGCCATTAAAGCTAGGTTTGTTAACTTCCTTTCAATTTCAACACAGTTCACCATTTTTTTCTAGAAAGCTTTATTTTTCTTGGTATGAATTTGTATAATTCGGAATAAGAGCAGGTCATTTGTACCAAAGAAAACGTGGTGGTCGTGAGCAAGGTGTGGAGTTGCAGCAACAAGGGAAGATTTTGAAGATCTGCTGAGGAGAGTTGAGGAATTAGCACTTTTAGTCGATGACCCCAACCGCTCTGATCGCCGTTCAATTATTCATTAACATTGGCGGATCTGATCACAGTGGTGGGAGACATAATCTTGTTGCTTGCGTGGACAATTTTGTTTGTGAACTTCAAGCGGCCGACTGTAAGGAATCTTTATTTTCATCAAGTTGTTTTCAAGATCAATAGATTTTTAGATTGGAATTCGCCACTAATCCTAGATACATTCTCATATGAACCTACGATTTCTTAGGAACATATGATCTATGATAAGGATCAAGATGAAGATGTTTCGAAAGAGCATCTTGCTCACAAAAAATATGGGGAAGGTAGCACGGACTAATCACAACTGATGCAATTGAAGATCTTAAAAATATCCGATAGGTGGAACACTCAAGAGATTTAGGGCATTGGAATTAGAACAAATGCAGGGCAAGTATGGTTGACTCATAAACAACAAAATGTGGCCCTCGATTCAAAAACTAATGAAACTAATGGCGAAAAAACCTCTAAAGGCTAGAAAATTGCATTCAAACATTCCTACATGATTTTAAATGTGAGTTCATTGGCCGAATTTGATAAGCTTGTATCTATTCTTTACGGTATATATCACAATCCATTTCTTAAGGATTTCTTCTTAGTATGAATAATTTTTGAGCCAACAGAGAAAAATGAGGTTGTTTAATGCTGCCACATATTTCAAAACTCGAGGACGAGTTTTTTCCAAACAAGAGAGTTTGATGCACGACAAGATACCTCTTATTTTTAAAATTTTCTTAATATATTTTAGGGATGTATTATTGAAATTATTTTGAGGATTATGTTTTTAGATTTTTAAGGTTTTTTAAATATTATCTTCTCTTTTTTTTAATTTTAAGAGTTGCTTAGAAAAATTGTTAAAGTGCTTATGAAATTATTAGTCTTATAAGGGGTAAAATTGCTATTACACAATTTGTTTTAATTAGGACTTTTAGTTCAATTCAAATTAGGATTTCTTAGATTCTATGTAACGTCTTTATATATATCCATGTAAGAATATAAAATAAAACCTTAAGTTAAGGGAATGATATCATGTTACTGTGTCATTCTAGTACAAAGAAACTTTTAAAAAATTATGTTTATGCTATTTACTTGATCCCAACTTTTGCACACACACTCCTTTCATCCTAAGAGTCAACCTTTAAAAAATTAAAAAAATAAATAAATTCAATTTATACCCTAAAGATGGCGAGTTCCATCCAACATTAAATCAATACCATCTATTCGTTGAATTTCAAGATCTAGATCTCGACAAATTTAAAATACATTTTTTTTCTTTTTTAACATGGTTAATCTAGTGATATGAAAACAATCTAAAAAGTTCAAAAAGAAAAA